GCTCTCGTATGCTGCTGTCTTCAGTGCTTTTAATGTACACTGGATAATTATGTACCTCATTTCTTCAAACTTAGTAAGATATTTTGGTTTAAACCTATTAGTAGAGTAAGCAGCTACGTGTCTGTCTTAATTTAGTATGGTATTCTCTGGTCTAAAGCAAGCAGTTCCAAATTAAATAAACTAGCATACCTATTGCACAAAGCAACTGATTGCATTCCAGTGAAGCCCCTTTGAAAGCTATGTCAAATCTCTGCTGACTCAGGGAGGAAAGTACCTCATTCCCTTTGCATTAGTCACCCTACTAGAGATTAATCCCAATGAGTTTTCTTCTACAGGCTTGGCTGGCACACCCAGGATTTGCATAACATACCTGTGATTTCTCAATATTTCGCCCAAAATGTGTTCCTTCAAATGCAGATAGGTATCAACTTTTCCAAAAACCATTAACTACAGTGTTACTGTAACAGCTTATCGAGCCTAGAGCGAGGCCAGCCACAGGATGATTCCCTTGCTTTGGTAAGCAGCCAGCACACAACTAAGTACTGTAAAATCAGCATGGGCCAACACTCACACAAACACCCGTGTAAATGACACAGCTCAAAAAAGGTCACTGCATCAAAGAACAACAGCCTCTCTTTTTCTTTATTTCATTACCCTCATTATCTCCCTCATTATCTCCCTATTTCACTGATTTTTGGCAAACAGTGGGCATCTATTTGATGTGACTGGATTGTTTGCAGACCCTGCGTCAGAGTTTCAAGATTCCTCCCAGCTGTATCCTGCCCTCATTAGGCAAACAACCATCCCTTGGCCTTTTCCACCCACCAGCATGAGAAAAGACTAACAAAATTTCAGTTCACAGAGAAACCAGGAGTCACACACCTTTGATCACTCTTGAGTTATTTTACTCTAAAAATACCATGCCCAAGCAATCTTTATTGAAGGAACAATACCAAACTTGTAATCAATATCTACAATACCATCAAACCATCAGAAAATAGATCTGTCAAGCAAAAAAAAAAAAAAAAATGCTTGCATGCAACTTGGCTCAGTTCTTTAGAAAATAAAATAGTTACTATTAGATTCATGGGCTAAATCAAGAAGCCTGGCCTATTCTGGACCAAAGAGCTGGAAAACAATTTTCAGATCTGAAGAATTTTAAAAGAGGACAGTAACAAGCTCTTTCCCAGTTAAATGAGGGTACTGCTAGCTTGGTTACTGCAGCCCATCTAAATCACTGCAGCACCCCACATAGTGAAGATGTGTCTTTAAGGTAGCCAAGGACCAAACTGCTTACAGTTTCAGAGTTAAAAACACTACTTAAGCTTTCCTCAGAATCAAAATAAAAAAGGTCAGCACAGCTCACAGTCTAATATACTCCACAAAGGACACAGTGTGAAACCAGACAGCTTTACTGAGCATTAGTTCATAGTCCCAAGCTACAGTCTGGCAATGGCAGCAAAGAGCACAATATACAGCTCAGTCTCTATTAACAGTAAATAAAGTAGCACAGCTGTGTTTCATCATGACAGACCACAGTCACAATGACCATCCCCTGTCACTCCCTGAAGTACTGGTCAAGCAGCCTATATTCAGATTTCTACCACCCTTAAGGGTTCCTAATGTACATACCATCCCAGCAGCTAAGGGCTAGGTAAATGAAGTGCTACAAGCTGCACACTGGTACACCTAACCTTTGGCATCCAGCCACTGAAGTGTGCACAACAAAAGCTGTGTTATGCTGAAGCTTCCTAACCAAAGAATAAGAACTTGAGGAAATGCCGGCAGTAACAGGTTGGCACAGTGTTCCTCTGAAGGAGCCACCAGACCTAGTCAGCAAGATGCACGAACACAGGTTAGGTCTAAATCTCTACCTCCCTGAATGAGAGATGCTCAGGTATCTGAATAGACCAAGAAAAATGTGTCTCCAGCGATCCTGCAGTCACACCACAGAATTGCCTGCACCAGAGCATTTCAACAAAAACAGCAGGTTTTTATTTTAAATAAATAAACTCTTTTATTTTAAATGGAGTTTTATAGCAGTGCCCTTTTTTAAAAAATCTAACAAGATTGGGTTTGAAATGTTCCTGCAAATGCCCAAATCAGTATCTCCTGTGCATGTTTCTTAACTACCAGGCCGCCACAGTGAGGGGCACTCACCACCTCTCCTGACAGTCCAACCTGATCAGCAGCTCTGTGACATTCATGAACATTGTGAGTAGGGCCCAGGGCAGAGGTCTGTGGAAAAAGGAAGCCTACAGTCCTTAGACTTTCCCAGTCTCTGGACACCTAAGACACTATCTGAAAACTGAAATGTACCGTTCTGTTGCTGCATACCTATGATGATCTTTTCATGGAGCAGATGATCCTGCCAGCCCCACGAAGCAGGAATTCCCTGTCTCCGGTGTCCCGAGGCAGGCTCTAACAGAGACATTGCCAGCTGTCTCTGTTCACGCAGGCCTCACTGTGAAAAAGCCAAACAACAACATGACTTTCACGCTGCACCGTTTAGCTTTGGCTGAAAGTGTAATCGTGTGTCTGTGGTTTTCCTGTTTGGGTGCCTAATTTAATTGGCTGAGTCCACTCCTTCAAGTGTGGAATGGACTCTGAGGGTATAAGGAATTAGCATGTTTCTGCCAGAGACATTCCACCCAGATCCCATGTTTGTTTAATATGTACAAACAGCTAAAATAAAATACTTGTTGGCCTCAGTAATAAACAGAATATAAAATAGTGTGAAATTAAGCGAGACCAGCTGGGCTCCAGGAGAAATGAAAGGAACAGTTAACTTACACTACACAATGATCTGGAATGCAGACACACTAAGATGGACTGCTATTGATGTGTGTTTTTGATGCACTTTATATACAAAGTGCTGATTAGATCTAGCTACCAAAATTATGCCCTTTCATATCCAGATGCCAGTAATAAACAACATTTAGAGGAACAAATCAACTGCTCTGCAAGCCAAGTTTACAGTGTTGCATCATATGCTGTAGAAGCACAAAGTTATCACTGCAGTGATAACTGACTTCACTCTTCCAGAGGAAACTTTTTAGTAAAAAAAAACCAACCAAACCCAAACAAACAAACAAAAACAACCAAAAAAAGAACTTCAAGAATTCTTCTGCTCTAAGGCAGGATTTGTCCAGCCCTCAGAGATCAATGAGAAGTTCAGGATATGCATCTGTATAGATTCTGTGTAGGAGCATTTGGTCCTCCATATATATACTGGAACCATAAACCAAGCAACTGCTTAAGCAGAGTTTTTTGAAGAACTTGAAAAAGTTGTTCCCTGTAACACAGGACAGGATGGAGGTTCTCCCTCCGACAGGATTTTTCCTCCTCCATAGGGAAGCAGATGACACAGAGGACACAATTCTGCTTCATAGCATTATGCAATTTTGAACACCGAATACGAACAGAAAAGTGACTTAAGTTGCAATTCCTGTGAAGGAGGCTCTGCTACACTGCCCAGACCACCCTTGTGTCTTTTTCTGGCAAGTCACTGTGCTCCAAACCTTTCCCACTTACCTCCCCCCGGAATTATACGTGTGGTACTGTGGCTAACTACCCTTCCAGCAAACTTCTCCTGGCAGCTGGACACTTTGGATCTTTCCCAGTTTGCTACAAACAATGTATCAGATGCATTTATGCTTCCAATATCTCTTTTAAGTAAAGGAGGCTGACTGAGGCAATATAAAGTCCAGCCCTTAGAAAAGCTACATGGGAAATAAAAGTTTGTTAGTGCTAAATCAATGACAAAATAAAATGTTTGGGAGAATGGATTTAGAAGTCTGTCAGACAAATTACTACTTTTATCTCATTTCATTGGCAGCTGGGCTGTTTTGATCTTTCACTTTCTATTAAAAAGAATAAACTGGGAATAGTAAACACTCAAGATCTATTTTGTCCTCCCCAGTGTGAACTCACTGTTGAATTGCCAAACCAAGGGGATGGATTTTCTCCCAGTCAGTGTAGGTACGTACTTCTTGCATCCTAAGGGCAAGATTCCTCAAATCATCCATACTGAAGCCTTAGCCCTAAGACACAGCTTCCTGTGGAAGATCATGTCTGTATAGTCCAATGTCACTATGCCTCCAAAGGCACTGGAACATCTGGTAGGTCACAGAGAACAGCAGCTTTAATTTTAGTCTGGTGATCATTTAAAACCACCACTTCCATCCATTGCTTATTGTCCTACAGTCCTGTCATAAAACAAGAGATCAAAATGGCTCATTTGCCAGGTAAGCCAATGTGAGAGGGAAAACAATTGACTCAGAATCAAAAGGAAAAGAGTAAAGAATTTCATAGCAGCACCTGTATTAATGGTAGAAGAACACACTACAGCATCACCAGCCTGAATATCTGAGCCATTAGTTAAAATCTGAATGAGAAATGACTGTTACTTCAATGTCTCTTCCCACCCTTTACTATTTTTCTTTATCTATGAACAGTTGGAGGAAAACAAAACGCTTTCTGGTCTCACATAAAATGTACAAATGTTCACTCTCATCCCAGGGAAACAATTTTGGCACTGTATGGCCACACTGCAGCCTCATACTTGTGGGGATGCAGACCCAGACTGCTATTTCCAGACTTGTGCTTGATGAACACATGAAGGTGTGCTCTAGTGGCCAATAATGTACATCTGATCTGGTCTTACAGCCTAAAGGGTAGGTAATGCTCTGGAATACAAAGCTGCATATATTGCCATTGTAAAGGTTTGAATAAGATCTAGCAATGGAGATTGGTCACATAGTAATGGTAGAGTGGATAAGTCTCAATAAAAATTGTTCACTGATATAACAACAGAGTTACAGTAATAACACTGTGCATACGGTGAGGGGACCAACTGTGACCCTGCACAGTCATTCAAGAGCTCTGTTTTAGCTACTTCTATCAATTACTAAAGCTGCACAGTGCATAAGTATGTCAGCTTTCCACAGTCAGGAACCTGACTCCAACACCCTCTTTTCACCCTGCTGCCTGGAACTTACACTTTGATCATCAGTCAGCAGCCTCCAGCAGTGGCTTTTAGGAAGTCTGCTTTTAAAGGGGCTCCAGAGGTAATGTTGGGGATTCAGATGCTTCATCCAAAGGCTAGGAAGATGACCGAGGTAGCGAAGACATGAGCTCCTGTGAAGAAACACAAAACCATTTTATGAAACAAATTGCTGGCTGTCAAAATGATCAATGAAATTTAACGTATGTAAATGTAAAGGGACACACATTGCAATCAACAATTCTGACTTTACTTACAAAATGAAGGTCTCAAGTTCATTACTGCACCAAGAGGAAGATCTGGATAGCATAGCATAAGTAACAAAATAGCCAATCAAGTAATACAGGTACTATAACAGATAATGAAAACCTCAGCTCAAATAAGAGAATTGACACAAGAAAACAGCACATTAAATGTTAGAAATCACTGTGAAAGAAATAGAGAGCATGATTGTATCAATGCACAAATCCACAAAGCCCTTGTATCTGGCTCTGATACCATTTCTAAAATGGATATACAAATAGAAAAGGCTTTGAGAAGAGTGGCAAGGATAATAAAAACTGCAGAATGACTGCTGGACAGGAAACGATCAAATGGTATCCTCCAGTATGGAAGACATGCCACAGGGAGGAAACGACAGATGTATCGTAAGTGGTGTGGCAAGAGTAAATGGAAACCCACTCACTGCTTCTTCCAATACGAGAGCTCAGAAGCATCAAACAATAAGAGCAGATCCCACACTCAAACCAGCATAAGGCACAGGCCAGCTGTGGAACACCTTGGAGAAGGATGCAATTGTGGATGCAAAGGTTTGAATGGATTCTTGATAAAAAAAGTACAGAGGTCTACCAAGTAGAAAAGCCTCTCTTCTGGGTCAACAAGGCTAAGACAGCCTGTTTGTGTTCAGCGGAGTATTCCCAAGGGGATTAGCTATATCCTTCAACTTCTGACAACACCTGAGACAAGGATAGGCCTAGATGAGCTTTGAGTATAATAAGGCTCATCTTATATCCTTTCTCAATCATCTGCCTTTCAATGTGGACCAAGTACATGGTGTTCATAGATCCTCCTCCCCTCACAGCTCTGCAGGCTGAAAAGGCAACTGTCCTCAGCAACTTGTCATTGCCTCATTGTTGGGGGTCATATCAAATCTGTTAGCTAAGGCTGCTTGTTTATGCCCTCGCCTGCTGTAGTGGAAATGAACCCTACACACAGGGACACTGTTATTTAAATTAGTTAAGACAATCCAGTTCACTTTTTGAGGAATAGACGTTAAGGGTTCTCATCTGAGTAGATCAGTCATCATTCTGGAGTAGGGAGGCAAAAAGCATCTGGAGAGGTAGGACAGGCTACAGGTCTGTCTTTCCTTTCCACACTAATTCTACCAGAAATGAGGAGTATCAAATAGGTCTGGCTCAGGAACTCACTGTTTGTGAATGAAGATGGTTGACAAGTTTTCATATTGTTCTTTTTTTCCTGCTGGTTTTCATTTTCACTATTTCTTTGTCAGACCCTGTTTCCCCACAAGAGGTTCAGGTTTGCAAAAAACCTAAACAAAATCTCCACATTTAACATGAGATACCTGCCAATCTGTGATTCATTTAAATACTTTACTGAAAACATTATTCAGAGGGTTATAAAGAATAGCTATGTCTTAAAAGAGTGAACTCTTCACAATAATATTTTTAGTATCTCAAATTTATTTCAAAGTGTATACTGTTATGCAAAAAGAGAAGCTGTTCTATGTCCTTCAAAATGAAAAATTTTAAGTTAAGAATTTTCACTGAAATGGTAGTCTCAGTTAACTCAATGCAAGTAAGGAGACACCCTGATCTGACTGCAAAATCATTGTCTGTATTTTTTTCTAAGATGAGAATACCACTATGAATGAAACATTAGAAGTAAATTATGCTATTTCCCATACGTATTTTGACATTTTTTATTTGTAATCATTACATAGGCAAGACTTTTTTCAGAAGCCCCCCTTGGTAGTTCCGTGTTTAACTATCTGCACTAAACTGCAACAATCCTCACCCAGACTAACCAGAAAAGTGTTTCCACCCTTCAGAGTTCAACAAAGGCACCAGCACCTTACAGCCTTGTCTGCCTCTGTGGAAGGAGCATGGCCCTGAACAACTACCCTTGGGATAAAGTTAAAAAAGACACCTACGTGATTTCCATTACACCCTATTTAATCAATCTACACCCTACTTCATCAATCCAACCAGCACCAATAAGAAACTAAGGATGAAGATCAGGGCTGTGTGCTAATGATCAAAACTGGAAATCTACCCCAGCTCATTATACATTTTCACTGTTTCTGTTTTCAGAGTTGATAATATGTTTTTGTAAGCAGGCAGGTTATTAAAACCCAAACTTCCTGGTGAGAGCTGGGATATTATCCATTAACTCATCTTTGACAAGAACTGTCCATGGACAGCAGATGAAAAGGAGAATCTTTACCCCACTAATAGCTCATGAAGAAAGGTAAAAAGGGCTCCTCAAAAGGCAGGTCTTCACAAGAACGTTGAAGTGTCAATTAAAATCTTGATGAAATCACAAGTAAGTAAGAACAAGGTCAATTACATGCAAAAACAGCATATCCCACACATCTTTGTTGCACTAAAACACAATAGAATGAAAACAAGCACTTTAGGGAAATGGAAAAAACCTGAAAATTTTAATATTTTTCACTGCATTGTCAGGGTCTTCATCTGTAAAATCAGGAAAATCCTTAAAAAAAAAAAAAAAAAAAAAAAAAAAAAAAAGGAAGACTGGGAAGACTGGAAGAAGTACTGATCTGAGTGGTTCATTTGAAAGTGCTGAACTCACACTCAAAGCCTAAAATCTAGGAACCACCAGCTGGGCTGGGATTCAAATTACATAGAAGGAGTGAGTTTTTGAGTTGTGATGCATTAAGTAGTGGAGGCAATTGCTTTTCTCACCTATTCCACAAGGAAAGGTGGTAGGGAAATATTTAAGAATTAAAGAAAGGAGACTTAGTATTACTGAACTAAAGCATCTTGCTGGACCAGAGTTTGCCTAAGGAACTTCAAAAATTTAAATAAATCTTTTACAGTGAGTCAGTTCAAGATGGAGCTGGAAGAAAGACAAAACAAATAAGATAAAACTGTGCATACTAAATTAGTTAAAGAAGAATCTGTTTATGTACTGGAAATTCACTCATAATAAAAGGGGCAAGAAAAGATCCTTGTTCCTGCCAAGTATCAGCATTACTGCCAAGGGAAGGAGGAGGGAGTCCATGTAGCAGTTACATGAGGGAATATCTATATGTCATATATAACAAGCATGGAGAAAGCTTGCAATGGAAGGAATTACACAGACACAAACTCCTGTACACTGCTTAAGGAATGTAGAGGGTCACAGACCTCTTCTATTTCAGTTTAGAAGCGATTAAAAAAATGCTGTTAGTTACCCACACATAATGTCTCTGTATTCTCCCTAAGTCCCATGTAGTACCACTAGTCTATGCAATACACATTAATTTAACCCACACTGCATAATGTGCTACTTAAAATAAGCCCAACTAAATGAAGGAACACCATTTCCCAGGAGCTGCAGTCACCCACGTGTAGCTCAGGGTCAGCAGCTGCAACCAGGATGCAGCATGGCAAGGAACACGTGGCTCTTCGTGGGTATAAGTGGCAAAAGAAATGTGTGCAAGTTACCATCCCAACCACAGAAATGGACTTCAGGATCAGGCAGAATTTTCAGCAAAACAGCTATGAGGACTGTGTAACATAAAGCAGGCCTGATCTGCTTTAACTCAGCCTTCACCTTTCTCAGCACACACAGGCACAAACGAGCATCCCTCCTCTTGGAGCCAATGACAGCACATGGCTGCACCCATTCCAGAGTAAATCACTCTCTTTTTTTTTGCATAATTTACTCTAGTCTACTTCTTACAGTCACAAATTACAGCAACTTGCATCTTACAGGTATCTACAACCGTGAAGCACTAGAGCTGGGCAGGAATATTGTGATGAAGAGACAAAGAGCTACACAAAAGAAAGCTCAAAGAAAAGATCAAAAGGACTCTGTCAGTGTAATAAGGGTAACAGTAAACACTCTGACTTCTTCACTGTATTACTAGAAGTGGCATTGCTATGGTAAAAATATTAATATTTTTAATTCTGTTTACTTAGCACTACCTATGACCTCCATTTACTATTGCTGTTTCTCCCAGTTTGAACAATGAAAAGCAATAAAGCAAGTTTCACTTTTGCTTCCAGCCAGTTTCACTTTCAGAAAAGACTATTTATTTGTTAAAAAACCCAGAGGTTGATTTCATTGGAATCAAAAGCTGCGCACATTTCTGTTGGCCTCTGATTCAATAAAAGCTTTTATGGAACACTTAGGTCTGGGTTAAATTAAGTTGACAGAGTTTTGATAACAAATATTCAATTGATTTACAGAGAAATTAATTTAAGTGTTAATCCAAAGTGTTACCACAGCTATTTGTTTAAATTGCAATTTATAGAATTTCACAGAATCACAAAGCAGTTGAGGTTGGAAGGTACCTTTGCAGACTGCTCAGTCCAAATCCCTGCTCAAAGTAGGGTCAGCTGTAAGAGGTTGTTCAAGGCTGCGCCTAGTCCAGTTTTGAACATCTCCAAGGGCAGACTCCACAACCTTTCTTGGCAATCTGTTCCAGTGTTCATTCACCCTTACAATTAAAAACATTTTTTTTACCCTTAAGTGGAATTTTCTGTATTTGAATTTGCACCCTTTGTCACTTGTTTCTTTGCCCAGGTGCTTCTGAGAAAAGCCTGGCTCTGTATTCTTCATACCCTCAGGAGCACTGGGCCCACGTTTTCCCTTGCCTTCCTTTTGCTGCCAATGTACCTGCAGGAGCCTTTCTTGCCACCGTTTACCACATCCAGCTCCCCAAGGGCTCTGACTTTTCTCACTACATTCTTGTGCACTCAGTGTCCCTAAAGTCCTGGGTAACTGCAGCCACCCCTTGTATGCTTCCTTGCTTCTTTTTTATTTAACAGAAATCTAATGTACACAGAAAGCTATGCCAGCATTCTATTTTCTAATTTTGTGTGGAAAGTCCCCTTCACGCAATCGCTTTTCTATTCCAGTACAATGGGAATATCAAAGTCGTGTT